CAATGAATTGGATTCATGAATATTATCAATTCATTAATGATAAAGTTCTTGAATAGTTAGATTTATTCAGTTTGGATTTAAGTCATAATTAATAATAGTAAATATGAATCTATATTCAAAATTTAAATGACAAAAATGCATTTATCCATAATTAATTAAATTTATAAATATTATAGATTCATTAATTCCTGAGTTCATGATAGTCAAAGTACATTCATCCATAGTCAAAAAAGGTTAACATCTAACATGGTATATGAATGACACTCACATAGCAGTGTATACATAGCACAATTTTAGAAAATAGGTAATGGAAATATAAGATCAAGATGCTATGTTACATTTTAAGTGATTGGTTATACTATAATTTTTTTAATTAAAAAATCCAACTAGTTGACCACTTTGCTCCACGTATAGTCATACTTTATCTTTTTAAATTTTTTTAAAATTCTTTTTTCATTTTTATTTTAGAAAAGAAATGTAAATTTAAAAAAAAAATTTAATATTTTTTATTTTTCAAACTTTTTTATTTTATACCATGTGGATGCCACACTTACATTAAATGTTCCTTGTCACTGTACTATTGATAGTAGTTGACGTCATCATCTTTAGTTAACAATGTTAGGAGAATGGACTACAATAATACACTAATTGAAAATGTAGACATCAAAACACACATTTTAAAAGTACGAGTATCACACTAAATAACTTTCAATAGTATAAGGATCAAATATGATATTAATCCTTTTAATTTATCTTTTAAATTCAAATAAAAATTAAATATAAAAGTTCAACATATTTACTTATAGTATGTATAAATTAGAAGTTGTATATTTCGGTATTTCTTACTATTTGGCAATGGTTACACACTTATCTTTTCTAAGCTTTAATGATATTTGGTATAGAATATAATTATAATAATGATTACAAAAGGATTTGTTATATTTGTTGTTTTATAATTCAGCTAAAATAAATAAAAAGTGACACTAAAAAATAAAAGTCCAAAATAATTAAACTTCATAATAAAGTCAATAGAAGGAAAATAATTTTAAAATAAAGCACACTATTAGTTTCCTTTTTAACTCATTGGATCACTAAACACTTGAGTAATAAGATTGGTTTCGATAAGATGAAAAGTAGTGAAATGATAGACCTAACAATTTGTGTATTCGTGTCTCTCTTTAGCTTCAAAAATAATAAATATGAAAATTATTGTGTTACAATTCATGTTGGCATGCCAAACATGAAACGTAGTTTTTTCATTTGCCAAACTCATAAGTAGTGTTTGCTAAAATTTAAACCGTCACTTTTTTTTTTCTTTTTATATATTATTTTCATGTCATGCTACTATGTCATGATTAAAATTGCCAGGTCTAAGTGGTAGGGAGATATTAGTTATTGCATCGATAAGATTCAATATTGTAGCAGAGACCTTAAAATCAATGGTACGATATGTTTTTGGATGCAGATACAGCTATGAAAATGAGATAGAGTATAAAGAGAATAGAAAATGACCATTAAGAATAGACTTGTCCATGAACCGAATTAGATTCAAGTCGAGCCTAGGCATGACATTAACAATTTTGAAACTTGCCTAGGCCCGACTTGACTCAAAATATGGGCCTAATTTTGTTACCCAAGCCCGACCCATTTTTTAAAGAAATTACTCAATTCCACTCAGGCATGCCCATATTTCAATTTTAATAAAATAAAAATAATTTTTATAATAAACATTAACTATTAAAAAAATAACTTTGTTAATTTAGTTTGATTGTTTAGATGGAATTGGTACATATAAACATATGTTATTAATATGAACACATATTATTTAATTACATGTTTTATTTTTTTGTAATATACTTATAAATATAAAAAATATTTAAAAATAATTTGGGTTGGGCTAAGCTTGAGTCTTAAATGTCATGTCCAAAGACCAATCTATTTTAAACAAGCTTTAATTTCAAATCCAAACCTATTTAATAGGTCTAAAATTTATATCTAAACATTTTTAAATTTCATGTAAGCTTTCGGGTTTGAGCTAGTAATCCAATCTTTGGATAGGTTTAAAAAAGAATATTATATTAAAATTTATATTAAATGAAATTTATAATATATATTTGATATTTGTGAAATTAATAAATAATTAAAAATTAATAAAATTATTTTTATATATAAATCAAATAATACTTTTGTAAATAAATAATAGTTTTGTAAATAAATATTAATAAATAATTTTTTCATGGTAAAAACAATCAAGTGTATTTTAAGTTTCAAGATTTATTTTTAACTTGCGCATCAATTTCTCATAAGTAGTTGACTGCCTGGTGAAGGGCAATCAACTGCTTTACGGGTAAAACGAAAAAATGGTTCGTTTGTCCACTGAACGCTTCCGCCTCCGGTGCAAAGACGGCTCATGGCACTGTGAGAATGATTTTCTATTTGCCGAATAGTTGATCACGACATGATTACATTGTATTGGAGATGCTGAATGGAATTTTAAAGTTTCATTTCGGTAGACAGCAAAATTAGTTTAAGTGAAATTAAAAATAATAATAAAATTAAGATTAATTATTATATCGATAAAATTAAATATTACAGTGATATGATTAAAATTAGTGACAAAATATATATTTGATTACAAAATTATTGAAGATGGTGAAATGGAATATAATGAAAAAAAAAAACCATTAAAAACATTAGCTTAAAATTTAAATATAATAAATTTATTTTATATTTATGATGTTAAAAAATAATTAAAATTTATTAAAATTATTTTAATAATAATAATTTTATTAATAAATAATTAAATTTACTAAAGTAATTTTTTTTTTTATAAATAATTGAATACAAACCATTATAAAATTGATATCTAATTTTCAAACTTAATAAAGATATTTTAATCCAAAACTTACAAAATTAAAGATAAAATTATAATAAACATAATTTAAGGAGGATAAAATAGTCCATTTTGAGGTCTAGCCGTCTACTGGACCTCTTTCCCTCCAGTGAAATTTAAACCTCCTGTGCGATCTAAATGAAATAATCTCACCATTTGTATGCTATCCAAACACTCAACCACTGAGATTAAACTTGAAAAGGTACCTCTAAAGCATAGAACTGAAATTTTAGTGGATTCCAAATGAGTGATCATTTACTCTTATGCCATCTAACTCGCCAATTTTTTATTTTCAAATTTTTTTGTAATTTATTTTTAATTTTTAATAATTATATTATAATTTATTTAATATTATTTCAAAATTTCAAAAATCTATTCTTTTATCTATTTTTGTTTTTTATTGTACATTAATTATAATGTAAGTATTACTACATTAGATAAAATTATATGCACAAATTGATCAAATGTCCCTTTACAACGTTAAATAATAGACATTATTAAAAATAATAATTAGCATATTCATAAAAATACTAATTCAATAATAATAATTGGTCAATTAATTAGCTTAATCTTAATAATTAATTAATATTTAAGAATGTTAGAAAATCATGACATGAAAAAAACTATATTATATAGTATCTATCTAATTTGAATATTTGAACGTTTTGATAAGATATAGCATTGGATATAATAAATTAAATATATACACCAATTAATCAAATGTATCTAAGTTGAATAGTTGATATTATTAAAAATAGTATTAATTCACATAATCATAAAGATACCAAATTAATTAAAACAATGGGTTAATTAATTAGCTTAACCTTAATAATTAATTAATACTTAGAAACTTTAAAAAAGAAAGCCTTGATATGTAAAAAAAGGAATAGCTTAAATATAATTAATCTTATTATTAATAAATTATAAAGACTAGTTATATTTAAAAGTAAAGCTAATTGTATTAAAATTATCACTAATATAGTATACTTCTAAATTATACTTTAATTTACTATTAATAATAATAAATTTTATTTTTAATAAATATTAATAAATCAATTAAGTATCAAATTACATTTCTCTTTTTTTATGTATTAAAATTCATTTTTATTTGTTCTAAAATTGAAACGTAAAAATTTAGTTCAAATTTTTTCATATTTGAATTTTTTTCAAATTTGGATCTTTAATCTTTTTACTCCATTCGGATCAACTCAAGCATCTTTTCAAATTTGATCAGATTTTGTCACTTATATATGTATATATATGTGTATGTATATATATATATATATATTAAAGAAAAGAAAGTTCAGCAAAAATACCTAATTGTATATTAGAACCTGTATTTTTTACTTAATTGTATAAAACAAGGTAAAAACAATTGTACATCTTATTCTAATGGTACATGCATTTTACATTGTATTAGAAAATGTATTTTTTTTTTAATTAATTGTATACAGCTAGTCAAGGACAAATTGTAAATGTGGCTGCTTTCCACTTTTGCCTCTTGTCATGAAGTGACCAGTTCTGTTTTTAGTACTTATTTCTTCTCATGACCGGAAACGGTAATTATTTTCTCTATATTATCTCAAATTATAATTCATTCCATTGCTTTTTGCATAAAAGAAATATACACAGAATCACAACTTTAGACAGAAGCTACGAGCAATTGGATGATTGACAGTTGACCTCCCGCCTGTTTACTTAACAGTCTCCGGTTCTCCCCTAGTTCCCCTCCGTTCCCATAATTTCCCGTTCCGTTTCTGCCACTAAGACCTTTCAATTGATAACAACAAATATGATGGTAAATTTCGTAGTTATGTTAAAGTTTAGGAATATAAAAGTCATTTTGCCTCCTTCCCTTGAAATAATAGAAGTACAGCTAAGCGACATAATAATTCTGCCATTAACTAATATCATTCTCAGAAGAGCGCGTGGATTGACCTTAGCTACTTAAAAACGCCTTTAACCGGTAGGGAGGAAGTAGTAGAAAGAAATAAGAAAGGGAAAGACAGGCGCGTGAGAAAGCGAAACGCAGAATGTAAAGCGTTGGTGGGGGCTGCTATGTATATAATTCATGGCCGTATTATGAAAGGGCGTGAGTGGTTGCTCTTTTAACTTTTGCTTTCTCTTCCCTCCCAATTCTCTCTGACCTAATTTTCTCTCTCATATTTTCTTTGATCAACGCCTCCTCTAATTCTAAATATCCATCCAAATCCAATACAAGTAACAGTGGCTCCCCCTTTACCATATCCTTAGATCTATATTTTGCCACACACTGCTTCTACTGATTTGTATATTCTTTTCTTGCTTGCGGTGATAAAGATTAAAAAAAAAAAAAAAAAGGATCTTTTGCTTTTGTTTGTTAATTCGAGAGTAGTGAAACAAGAAGAAGAGAGATGACTCCAGCTAATTTGGCAGGGCAGTTTGGTGACACCACTTACACTAAGGTGTTTGTGGGGGGGCTGGCATGGGAAACCCAGAAGGATACCATGAAGAAGTACTTTGAGCAGTTTGGTGAGATCTTGGAGGCTGTCGTCATCACTGATAAGGCCACTGGGAGATCTAAAGGCTATGGATTTGTATGCTTTCCTCTCTTGTCAGCTTTTTTTTCCCCTATTCATTCCATTCTTCAATCTTCATACATAGTTCTGATCACTAGATCTTCAAAAAAATAAAAGATCTAGTGACTAGTGATGGATTCTAAACAAGATTATACAGAAAAAGAAAATGTGATGTTTTGTTTCTATTGTTATTATGATAGGTAACGTTTCGTGAACCAGATGCGGCCATGAGAGCTTGCGTTGATGCTGCTCCTGTGATCGATGGGAGAAGGGCTAATTGCAATCTTGCTTCATTGGGTGTTCAAAGATCCAAACCCTCTACTCCAAAGCATGGTGAAGAGCTTTTTCTATCTAAATGATCTGTGGTTTTACCCGAAATTTATTAGGTTTTGGCCGATCATCTGATCTAGTATTAGATCTGGAGTAAAACATTAATGATGTCTTTCCTCTCTTGCTTGTTTTTACTTTATTATTCATTAATCATAATTAAGGTTAGTAAGTGGTTACTATATATTTAACATTGTAAGTAAAAACATGATCTCCCCAGGCACGGCCCAACCAAATATCCCGTTTTCATAAAAAAAAAAAAAAAAAAAGACCATGAAGGAGATCAATGAATATTCTTCAAAAATGGAAAATGAGGCAGTCTTCCTCCGTAACTCGTTTCTTGGGAGAAAAAGTCGAGGATGTAAATTCTTGTAAAATAAAACTGATCATGTCTTTTGCTGCATGGAAATTGCGTCTGTGTAATTTTCCTACATTCTCGTTATGTCTTTTGTTTTGTTCTTCCCTTGAAAAATTTGCAAACAAAAATACACGCCAAAAAAAAAAAAAAAAAAACACTACTACTAGTACTAATAGTAGGTATTGAAAATTTTCCATAATGTTTGGTTGTTATTAGGACATGCATGCATTAAAGGAGCAATAGTGTAGGAATATTTTGCTAGTTGTTTTAGGTTAAAAAATGAATGAATATTCAATAAATATACGTTTTATTTTTTGAGGTGTGCAGGAGGAACGGGCAGAAATTTTAGGGTAATGAGCTCTTTCCAGACAGGGTTTGGAGGTGGAGTGGGAACAGGAACAGCTTTTGCTTCGGCTGCAACCTTCCCTCATTATGCTATCCAACAAGGGATTCCTTATAATGTTTATGGGTATGCTTTTATTTTCTGCACTACTGTATCACATGCTTATGCACGTGCATTTGCCAACTCATGCACACCCAACACCATTGAACTAAAGTTAGAGCGAGCTGTCAACCACGCTCATCCTCATCCACCTTTTCTTTCTTTTACTTTTTCTGTCCAACAAAACAAACTCGTCCAGGGATATTTTTATTAACAACACATGATTATTCCTTAATTCCTATGATGGGCGCTTTATCTCTCTAAAACCTTTTTTTACGTATCTGTATCTCTTTCTAAATATATGTCGAACACAACGATGACATTCTTGTGATTTTCTGGAAGTGCACGTGACATGACATTACATATACATAAGCATAACATGCATATGCACATGCACGTGCATGCCCAAGATATGTAGGCAAATTACATTTGGTTGCTTTGATTTAAAATGTTTGTTCTATTTCAAGTATGAATGATCTCTTAAGTGATTACTCTAACCTTATTTCCTTCAGGTACTCTTCATACTCGCCAGATTACTCTAATTACCCAACGGTTTGTACTGATCGCTTCTCTCTCTCTCTCTCTCTCTTTTTCTTTTTTTTTTTTTTACAAGTAAATATTTATTCTTTTCTTTTTTGCTTTATCCTCGCTACACCTTAGGATGCGTTTAGCAAGAGGCAAAGCTAATCGGCCTTTAAATATTAATTTTGTGGCGGAATATAACTGTGTTTTACTTTTGTGTGATTTCTTTTGGCCATTAATATACCCAACAAAGTTAAATCAATATTCAAGAGTGCCAACTGTGTAGGTTACACTTGAAGTAACTCATTAGACGATGCCACCAAAAATTTGTTGGCTTTGCTATATTATTACTCTTCTCCTAAAACATCTTTTTATTTTGGATTAATATGTAAAATGGCTCCTATATTATTTATCTTTTATCAATTTGGTACTTAAGAAACAAAATTTTCATTTTGGTATTTTAACTCTTATTACCTTGCACTTTTACCAAAGTTAAGTGGTTGATTTAATATGAACATCCAATAAAATTATGTCATGTGTAACAAATTATTCAATTATTGCTATGTTAGCTATTGCAACATCAACAAAAAATTTAAAATATAAATTTTAATTTAAAAAAAAAATGATGTGAAAACAAATAATATGATAATGACTGAAAATTTATATCACATATCATGATTTTATTGGATATTAATGTCACATAAGCAACTTAACTAATGATATTAGTTTGACTTACCAAAGTGCTTGATGTAATAAAATTTTGGGTACCAAAGTAAAATTTTTATTTTTTTATGTATTAAATTGACAGAAAATATATAATATATGAATCATTTTTATATTGAACCCTTTTATTTTTTACCTGTTGAAGTAATATTTTTCTGTCATGTTCCAAATTTGTATTTTAACCTTTTTTTTTTTTCTGGTTTAAAAATACCATTAATTAGTACTTTAACGTGTGTATTTACATAGGAAAGGAAATTTTCAGAAATCCTAATGCTTAATTAGAATAATATTAAAATTCAGTCAAAGGTTTTTCGTCAAACTAATTTCTAAGAAGAATAATATGAACATGAGATTATAACATATCAACTCAATATGTGAAGAGAAAGATGTAAAAATTAAAATTTAGTAATTTTGAAAATCTTTAGTCAGACAAGCTTCTAATTAATTTTGAAGCGTTTGCAGTCACAATCAGAAATGAGTGGGCGCAAACATGTTATATGTACTTCTGTCTAGGTCAGAGCCATTGTACTGGTTGGTCCATCTATCCCAGCATTTGCGTTTGCATTTGCATATGCATATGCATATGCATGCAGCTGTGGTGTCTCTTCTTTGTCTTCAACTTGTTCATCATAAGAAATTGGACCTGTGGTCCATCCCTCACACTTTCACTGTCTTCTAAAATTTTATGGAACTGCAAGCACAGGAATATTTATATTCATTAATTCCTACGCAGGCTTGTTCCAAGGAGTTTTAACTTGAACTTGATTTTACACTTACGTTGTCCTGACAAAAAGCATGTAGGTGCCCACATGTACACAGAAATATTATTAACTGTTTGGAATTGTGTTCTTATGTTTCAGAGCTACTATAGCGTGTATGGAGGGGCCACTGCCCAGTATCCATTGTATGGTGCTGGCCCGGGTGGGTTGATGACTGGAGCTGCAGGAACAACATTCTACCCCTATCTCCAATTCGGAGAAGGAACGGGTGGAGCCACTGGCTACTCTTCTGGCCAGGGATATGGTGTCCAGTTTCCCCATCACCTGTTTCAGTACACGGCCGTCAACTCAACTGGGAGTTACCCACAGCACTATGGTGCACCCATGTCTCTTGCACCTACTCCAGCCTTGCAATCAGGTTTGTACTACTTAAACCAGTTTTCCCAAATAACAACATCGGCAATTTTTTTCTGTTTTTCTTTAATCAAATGGAGCTCTAGAGTTTAACTTAGAGTCTTCAATTCATGGATCAGTCTCAGTTGTCGGCATGATAACAATTTTGTATGGAACAACTTGTTGAAGGATCAATCCTCTCTCAACCAGAAAAAGAAAAAAAAAAAAGTTGTCATCTTTGTGTCTTACAATAGCTACGTAAAGACAATTTGAAGTACATTTGTACATAGTTGTATCACTTTATAATTATTTACTCACTGGAATAGGGGTACTAATATCTTTGACAGTGTGTTTTGCTGTGCCACAGGCGTGACTATGGCTCTTCATGCCCCAGCAATTCCTCATCGTTAAGAGACTCATTCCAAGCTAGCTACTACATATTTCTTCAGCTGCTCTAAGGTCTCAACCTTCGGCCTGACCATGGTTCTCTTTCTCCCTTAGTCTCTAACTCAAAGCCCATGCTTGGCATCTGGGCCTTTGCACACACTCATAAAGCCCCCCATAGGGGCCAAAAAATCACCTCCAAAATTGGAGAATCATGCATGTTTTTTATATTGCATCTTTGTCAAACAAGGGTTCCTTGAAGAGAACCAAAGCATTTTTATCTAAATGCCAACTTCAGCTATTGGATCAGCTAAGTTGGATAAGTTTTTGTACCACTGGCCCGGGAAAGGCTAATTGAAACAGACATTTTGTAACTTTTAGCCTAGGCAAGGCTAATAAACAGAAAATGGTTTGCAAAAATTGTAAATTCAACAACACAAAAAGCAAGCCTCATATCTTCAAATTTTAGTCTTTTAAATGGCTAATCCCTCCAAATTTGGCTAATCATCTCTTGAAAATGAGGCAGTTTTAGCAAAAATTGGGGGCATTGTATGCCCCAAGTTTTTTGTGCATTGACATCTAGTCTTAGGGTTTAAAAACTAGGACCATGTAGTAATATTTTTATAAATGCTTTTCACCAAACTCACTTGAGATCTTCTCTTATGGATAGGGAAGATAATGTTTTCTTGTAAATTCAATGTGGCTAAACTTTGGGAGTATTAGCCCCTTTTAGTGTTCGTGTTTTGCATTTAGCCTTTCTAATTATATTTCATCATGAAAAGAACTCCATGAATGGATGTGGAGCTCAAAGCATTTGCATGTACCCTGGGAGATATTTTGGTTCCTTAGGGTTCTTCTCTTCTAACGTGCCAGCCATGGTTAGGACTTAGGTAATCCTCATCGCTCTCTCGCTCCCACTTTCCTTCCCTCCCTCGCTCTCTCGAACTTAATTTCACTCGGAGATGGAACTTTTTACTCTTTATATGTATGTATAAGCCTATGGTTTGGATTGTAAGTAGGGATCAATGCTACTTAGAAGATGATTCATTCTCCATCCATGATGGTTGGGAATGATATGCTACTTACTACTATGTTTTAATTTCAGTCTCTTATGTCACTGCTGCACCTTGATGCTTTGTCCTTGATCGCCATACTATGATGTTATAAACTTCAAATTTTGTCGTGTTTAATATTTGGCTAAAATTATAACTACTTTACCATGCCAACAATGTCATGTTTAAACTTCAACCCAATTTATCATTCCTTGCGGCAACATGATTTAACCAAAAGGTAATCAATTATCAAAAAAAAAAAAAAGATGAGGATCAGAGGAAGATTAAAGAAGCAATCTTTTTTTTTTTTTTATATGTGTTTCTCATATTTTTGGGTTTTGATTAGCTAGAATGTGGGAAATAGTCAAAAGCAAGTTTGGATGGAGAAAAGTAGAAAGTTTTTTTTGTCAAATTATTCAGATAATTTTTTGTGACATTGATTTTGTTAGGTTTTGAAATAAATTGGAGATGACGTGGTTTTTCTTTATCACATGAAATTTTTGTGGGCTTGTTCAAGAAAATGCCACCTGAACTTTTTTTTTTAATTAATGAGAAATTAAAAACACTGACAACATTTAATCAAAGTAAAAAGAAAAAAAAAAAAAAAACCAATGACTAAACCCATCGGCCCTCTTTAACCCTCATTTTCTTTCTCTGTCTCTTTACCTTTAACTTTTGGTTGCCGCTTGCTCCATTACCAGTCGCGGTCCTCCATCGCTCACCAGCTTCCTTTTGACTTCAAATTTCACCCACAAATTCTTTTCGACCTCCTAACAGTTTTACCAGATTAGATTCTTCAAACGCTCCTTAGATTTTCGTAGATCTGCTCCTAAAGCCGACGGTTCCTCCCCCATTAAAACTGTTTCTGCCAGTAATTTGAGTTGTTTAGCCACTTAACTGGTTAGATTTTTTCTTACTAAATTGTAATTGTTACAAGTGAAATTATTGGAGACATTTCCTCTGTTTCGGAGACTTGATAGTTAGGTGCAAAATTTAAAAGTTTCCGTAATTTTTTTAGATGCGATTGGTAATCAATTTTATATTTAAATAAATTTTAAAATTAATTAAAATTTATTTTAAAAAATCTTTTAGTTTGCCAATTAAAGTCAAATTTGAAAATACTGTTAAGTATAAAAAAAAGGTTATCACACTTCATAACTCTCGATTAAAAATGATACAAATTGATTTTGTATTATCTATTAAATTTGTTAAAATTTTTCAAAAATAAAAAAAAAATATTTTTTAATTATTTTAATATTTTAACAAAAATTTAATAATATTTTTTTAATTTAAATATATTTAAGATATTTATTGACACTTTTGAAAAGATTCCATCAATTGATTCAAAAATATTTTTTATTTTTTTATTAAAATATTTGATATTGGATCATTTTTTAAATACTTTAATATTTTAACAATATTTAAAAAGTAATACTTCACCTAAAAATTTTCGTAAAAATTGCTATTGTAATTTTTAATAATTGCATCGTTGAAAGATTCAAAATTCTTATTTTTAGTTTATGAAAAACTAATATTTTAAATTTCTCCAAAAATTCTCAAAAAATTTATTTTAAGAAAAATTCGTATTTCAACTTTTTTCTTAACATTTTCAAAACAATTTTTATGCATTTTGATTCTTAAAAAGTTTAGAAAAAATTAATATTTTAACTTTTTTCTTAGTAATTTTTTAAAGTTTATTTTATTTTTGTTTATCTTATTTTATTTTTATTCTAAAAAAATTTTTTAAAAAATTGATATTTCAACTTTCTTCTTAGGATTTTTAGAAAATAATTTTTTTTTTACTTTTTGTTTAAAAGTATTTAGGAAAAGTGATATTTCAACCTTTTCCTAAATTTATATTTTTTATAATTATTTTAAATAAATGTTAATTAAAATATTTTATTTTTCCTAAATATTTTCAACAATTTTATTTTATTTTATCTGACAAAGTTAAAAATATATATAATAAATAAAAATAAAAATAAAAATAATAAAAATATATAAAAGATTGACCAAAAAAATATAAAAATAAAAAATTACGAAAAAAGATACCAAAAATGCCTTTGGCAATTTAGTCAATGCTTTAGAAGCGATTAGGCTGGTTCAATGTTTTCCAACCAATTCTGAGCGGTTTGTTATGGTCTAGTCGATTTAGTGCAATTTGGTGTGATCCAAAAGTGATTTTGAGCGGTCTAGAGCGGTTCATAATGGTTTAGACTGATTCAAATTGGTATAGGCTGAATCAGCTCAAAGGGAAGTCAAATTTAGATTAGGTGCACATCGATTTGTGGGTTGGCATACATATCATTCCCCTAAAACAACATCATTTGGTTTTTTTTTTTAACTACAAAAGGTCAAAAAAAATTTTATTTCATTTTTTCATACCACACACTCTCTAAAAGCCCTCATTCTCTTTCTCAAACCCAAATCACCAAGGTCTTTCTGTAGTTTCCATTGCTGGTGTAGTCACCAGCGTGTCATCTTTAGTGGTCGAAAAATTCTCAAAAGTTTACCCTTTGTTATTTTCGACTCTCTAAAACAGATTTAACCCCCGTTTTGCAAAAAAATGGCTTCAAATGGCATAGATCAAGGTCGAAAGTTTTGGTCAAATTGATTTTTTTTATTTGGCGCTACTTTTCCCTATTCCATGGGTTGTGTATTATATTTTTTCTTTGGTGGTGGAAAGCTTGAAAAAAAAAAGAAATATTTGAAAAAAATTTGGCTGTAAGCTTTTGGTTTTTAAAAAGAATTTTTTTATTTCATTTGGCAAAGTTTTCTCCTTACAGTCTTTTGGGTTTTACCTTCATTTTATTATGAATTTGTTTTCAATTTACAGAGCCTGTTTGTAAATCAGATCCTAGATTTTCTGAGATTGTTGTGGACTGTATGAATATCTCTAGTGACTTTGTTGGTCTCAAAATTTGAGCTGTAAATTTGGGTATAAAAAGTAGTTGGTGTTAACAAAATTAGGCAATGCAGAGAGATTTTTGGGTGCAATGAATTCACATAGACTTTGAAGGTTGGGAAAAAGGAAAATATGGGATAAAGAGAAGAAAAATGAAAAATTTAAAAAAAAAGAAATAATAATAATAATATAAAATAATAATATAATAATAATAATTTAAAAGTTTAGTAAAATTTAAAATGACCCAATATGAAATTAACCCGATACATTTAATTAAGGTATTCTACCAAACTCGAATGGAATCAAGAATCGGTTCAGGTTTATTTAGATACAATATTCGATTTTTTGAACAAAATAGATGTCTACACGTGTCTTTTTTGCAAATTGTTAAGAATCAAGAATAAAGCAAATAACAATAAAGACATGAACACCTTTTTAGTAAATGTAACATTCATGGTTCAATCGATATGATTTAGTATAGTTTGCTACCAAAGTAATTCAATTGCCTAACCCAATGATTCCTTTGTTTAAGTTGACTAGATTGCATATGATCAACATGATTCTTAATTCATTTCTTAAAAAATCAATGCAAATTCATCTGAAATAGCATTTGTTGAGGAGAAAAAAAATTTTGGCAAGCTTTTTGAATTTAGGCAATTCTTTAAACTTGAATGAGAAAGTTAAAAGGTCATTCTTAGTTTTTATGGTGTGATGTGGCTTGATCTTGGTTGTTTGTTCAATCTGAGCCTTTTTATATAAACCTTGTCTTAGGCTTTAATTTTTCACTTATCTTTTGTTTGTTGCTTTTTTTTTTGTTTCGTTCTATATTTTAGTTAGTTTTTGGGGTTTCCAAGCTTTTATGATTCGATCCCTTTTTTCTTCTTCAACTACCTTGGTACATTTGTTAACCTTTTAGTCATGTCTTCTAGCTCTGACTTATCTAATTTTAAGGTGAAAGTTAGGAAGAATCAAGTGAACTAGAATAGGGTAAAGGTTCCTTCAAATGATAAGGTTCCCTCGATTATTGCAAGAAAAGATTATAGTCGAGCTACTTTTTAGTTAAACCTAATGTTAGGGGCGATAAGATAGTAGTTACAAGAAAATGCCCAAACTCGAAGGGATAAAGTCACCCATGGAATATAAGACTTATTGACTTCTTTGAATGCTGACATTAATAATCCATTAACCTCAGATGACCTAAGTAGCTTAGTTTCCCCTTTGACCTTTTTATTATTTATTTCAACCTCTTTTACCTAAGCTCTTTTTTCAACCCTTTCTAACCTAAATCCTATTGTAGCTTAACCTTTGATGATTCTTCATAGTTCTCTTACCTCTACCAGCCTAATTTCATACTCTAATTTAAGGTCGATGTTAGACTCTAAATCTTTTGCTTTTAAGTCATTGCCATCTTCTTCTGAAGTTGTGATTGAAAATTTACAAGCTCATAGATTGTACAAATAGTAAATAAAGATCATTCCTACAAAGATTGTAAATAAAGTTAATACTAAGTAACAAAATTATAATTGGAGTACAAGGGTAATCCCTTATGTAGGATAAGCCTCTCTTGTTATAGTGGCAATTGTAGTAGTTTTCTCATTCGTTGCAATTTAAGTTAAAGTTGGATAAAGATTGGAGTTGGGTTCTCTTGGTAAAAGTCTGTGGAAGCCATTGAGTAAGAGAGTTTTCAATCTAGATAGCAAGTTAAATCTAGTGAGCAAGCTTGTAAGTCTGTGATAAAGGCAATTTGTTTGAAAGCCTTTAAACAAAAGCAAGACATTTCATGGGAGTTTCTTTGTCTTAGGTGTGAAAGTATTATTTCTAATGCAAGATAAGGAAAGTTAGTATCAATAAGTACCTTTCCCTCTCTAAATGGAATGACTCCATTCCTTTCTTTCCAATCAATCCAAGAGTAAGCTAGCTAGTGTTGTTAGATGAGTGATGCCCTCATAAGCCCACTTTTGGCCTAGTTTTTTATTTCTAGCGAGCCTGGTTTAGGTCTCTTCAATGTTGTTATAGTGAAAGTAGGAATAATCCCTTGAAGTTCCTTTCTAAGTGTGTATGTAAGGGCAAAAAAAAGTGTATTCCACCTAATGTGCAAAGAACTAAATTAAACTACTTAATTAGTCACATCTAATGCAACAATTTAAGAAATTGAATTATCATGCAAAAATACCAAATTAACTAAAATTGAAATTGAAATTGAACTTAACGAACTTAGTTTAACTCATGAAAGCTAAAGAATAGCAAATTAAACCTAATATAAATAATTTAAATAAATTTAAATCGTGACTACCATAAAGAAACCTAAGCAAATTAAACTTTAAAGCATGCATAAATATTAAACCTAATGTAATAACTTGAAATCATAACTTGTGCAATTAAATGTAACTTGAGAAACCTT